AAAGTGAGTTAGTGATAGTTAACAATGAGTAAGTGATAGTTAACAGTGACAGCTAGTGCTAATTAAAAGTGAGTTAGTGATAGTTAACAATGAGTAAGTGATAGTTAACAGTGACAGCTAGTGCTAATTAACAGTGAGTTAGTGATAGTTAACAATGAGTTAGTGCTAGGTAACAGTATCAGTTAGTGCTAGTTAACAGTGAGTTGGTTATAGTTAACAATGAGTTAGTGGTAGTTAACAGGGACGGTTAGTAATAGTTAACAGTGAGTTTGTTAGTGATAGCTAAAAGTTAGTGATTATATGGCTGTCTGGACTCCAATCATGTTCTCATTAACAGATTTTTATTTTGGATTTCCCCCAAAGCAGATGTGTTTTACTTTGTATCCACGTCTCTCTTCCTGTCAGACCCAGGAAATTGCTGCTGAATTGCTGCGCAGCTCCAACCAAAATAGACCTGGGCTCTATCCTGTTATACACAGTGGTGTCAAAAGTACACACATTTATTACTTAAGTCGAAGTATAGATACTGCAGTTTAAAAACACTCTGGTTAAAGTTGAAGTATCAACTTGACCTCTTTACTTAAGTAAAAGTGAAAAAGTATGTGCCCCAATAACTACTTGAAGTAAAAAGTAACTTTAAAAAAAAAACAGCCAGATGAAAGCTCAATTTTTTTACTATTTCTAAAAATCCTTAGAGATAGGGCTAAGGATGAGGGAGGTCTTGTTGGTCTCCGTCTCCCGATACGCTCTCTCCTGTGTCCGACCTTTCAGACATTTCAACATCTTTTTCTGAATCCTACATTGTAGCATGGCATAGACAATTCATGTTAGCAGTTTGAAGAACACCTGCTTGCTTCTGATGACTTCCTTTAGCAAACCAATGAGTGTTTGCGTTCTATGACTCATCCACTAACGCTAGTTTTCACTAGATGTGGATGGAGCCAATGATCTGCATTGGATGGAGCACATGATGGGAAATAAATATTAGAAACATTAAACCGAAGCCAAGAGTAACGGGTAACATTTGTTTAAAAAAATGTGAGCAATAGAAAGTACAGATACTTGTGTGAAAATGTAATGAGTAGACGTCAGAAGTAGGAAGAAAAATAAGTACTGGAGTAAAGTATACCTAAAATATACCTAAGATACCTAAAAAGTGTACTTAAGTACAGTAACAAAGTATTTGTACTTTGTTACTTGACACCTTTCTTTATTCTTTATTCTTACTTGATTAGTTTATTTTTGTATTTTCTACTGTTTTCTAGTTTCCAGGTTATTTTTCTAATTTTTCTCTGGTTATAGTGTTTCTTTGATTTCGCCTCCTTGTGAGTTAATCTCCTCCTTAGTCTCTATATTTTCCTTCTATCAGATTCTCTGCATCATTGTTTAGTTTTCAGCCCTGCAGGTTCTGTCCTGGTAGAGCGATAATCTTCATCCAGCTTCTCTGTTTCTGCAAATAAAAGCTTTGTTCATATAAAACACACCAGCAGCCATTTAAGGGTAAAATGCTTTATTATTATAAACCGTTTTCATAATAATAAAATTGTTTACAAACACCATGAGAGAAAGACTCCTGACTGTTCAAGTAGATTATATTGAGCCGTCCATTATAAAAATAATTAAGGATTTATTGGATTTTGATTGAAGTTTTTCATTAACAAACCGAAAGCAGCTGTTAGCAAAGAACAAACCAATTAGCCTTAGAGGAAAAAAGTACATCTATAGATGGAAAACAGTCCCAATACTGTTTTTAATGCCTCTGTTGAAGAAAATAAAGTCTAATCCAAATAAATACGGGTTTATAGGGAGAGGTTCTTATAGACAGAAAACCATTTTGTTTGCAAATGTAGCTAAAAACTGTAAGAATATAATGATTTTCTTTCATCATGCTTAAATTTTTACCCTTTTTTCCCTGTTGGGTCGGTTTCCATGCACACCTGATCCGGACGCCATGAATCTGTTCCAGCTAACCTGGTGTTCGGCTGCTTCAGAAAAATTCATTCATGGGAGGATTTTATTGGTCTAAACATGAAAAAGGCTTGCGGTCTTCATCAGGTTGTTGGTCAAACGCAGACGAAGGGAAACGGAAAAAGTTGAGCGTTTAAAACCAGCGAGTTCAGGATTTTCAGGTTTTATTCCAACGTTAGAAACTCTCCTCCTGCTAACATATTCATTTCAGAGGCTTTCTGCATTCATCACCAAGTTATTAATTCTCCTGCTGTTCTGACTGAGGCCTGCAGATGGCGCTGTTCAGTCTGAACATTACAGACCCTGATACTTAGTTAAACTGTCAGAGAAATTTTTTATAGAATATTTTACGTTAAATAATCAGAGTAAATCTTTCTAAACCTTCCTGCAGTGATGGGCGACAAACATTAACGTCTCTAAGCTAGCTGCTGACGCCTCTCCATCCTCTAGAGACGCTGAGAGGCCAAACAAGTGGAAATAAATGCACAGCAAATACAAAACCTGCTGCAAAAAGAGACAAAGACGTTTTTGGTGCTGAGGTCAGATTCAGCCATTAGCGGGATGTTTAGATTTAAATGTTTAAACAGGAAAACTGTTCTTTCATCCCGTTTCTGTTGCTCTAAGATTCTGGCAGCAGCCATTCATGCTTTGTAAAGTCTGTGGTCTGGTCCATATAGGTTGCTGATCATCTCCCCTTACCGTTTTCCGTTCTTTTCCTTCGCCTGTTTTATGCGTTTGTCTCATTTTTGCTTCTGCAGCACTTTTTCTATTTGCTGCTTTCAGCCTCAGTAATGTTAGCTTTGTTTGAACGTACAATCTTATGCTGCAAAGTAGAACCTAGCAAGGCGTCCTGATTGGTCAGCCAATTAGCAGCTCTGTGCTGCTGATAAGTGGAGACTTCTTTTCCTTTCTTTCCATCATCCTCTCATCTTTGCTCTGCATGACGCCAAAATATCTCAGACATGTTTAAAACTTTGTCCATAATGTCTTTGTGCTTCTTTAAGTCTTTCCTCAATATAAAATATTTTATTCATTCAACATTTTAAACCAATACTGGAAACAAAAAACAAAACGTTACCTTGAAAATAAAACTTCAGTTTGTCTGTAAATCTTGACGTTACATCAAAGTAAATGAAAGTTCGGACCCACCTGACCATAAGGTAACAGAAAGTCTGTCAGCTTTCCATTGATTGGTCCATCGGTTTTTGTCGATGGAGGTTCTCCATCCGTCAGTGTTATTCGTCTTCAACCTCACATCCCGACTGACTCTTTGCCGCCTGGTTTTGTGGGGTTAGGGTCACATTTAGGATTATTTCCCGACACAAATAATGAAAAATTGAGAAATGTTGGATTCACACTAAGAGCAAACCCTGTCTGAGATTATCGGTTATTATAATCCAGCAGGATTAATGTCTGACATGTTCTCTGCTCCGGAATCTCCTACCAGTTGAAGGCACTTGATTTTATGGCAGAAGGTGAGCTGTTGGCTTCTTGTCTTTCACAGATGGATAGACGTTAAAATAAACTCTAAAAATACTTCTTGGTTTTCCTCAGAGCTGCTCCCCGTTTAACCAGGACAGTAGTGATGATCTGAGGGCGGAGCCAGGCTGGATAGAAGGTCCACAGACAGGTTCATGGTTTAGCGCTTCTGCTCTGACTGCCTTCATCGTTTTACTCAGACTGGGTGAAGAAGGTCAGACAGTGGAGATCAGATCAGGGAGGGTTGGATTTATTTAGCAAAGCTGCTTCTCTTTTCTCAGAAGGTAAAAACAGATCCCTTAGTCAGAAGGCATCCTCTTTGGGAGATGATTGAGATGAGGAGGAGGCGCTGATGGTGTCACCTTGGCCAGCCAATCAGCACCAGGCTCTGAGTGATGCAGAGCAGCAGCGTGTAGCGTGATGGCAGTGAAGCAAAGGACCTCAGATCTGGAAGGAAAGAGACGGAGAGAGAACGGCAGGGTGAGTCTTCAACGCCGCCTGCATCAATACGGCAGGAGATGAAGATAAAGAGTCAGGATCTCTATGATGCAACTCTATGTTCAGCTGAAAAAACACATATTAAGTTCAACAATCAAACAATAGGATGTGTTTTTTCTTTTTAAGAATAAATTCTTCAAACAAAAAATATCCTTTTACTTTTTCATCAAGATGATGTGGAAGGAATCCTTTTAAACCAAAAAGGAAAACTATCAAAGAGAAACTATTCTCTGTTTCTCTACATTATTCTATGATGTGAAATTGGAAAATGATCCGTTGTTTCTTCTTTTTTGATAGTTTTTTCAAATTGAAAAATAAATAAACAGAAAATTCCAGATTGAGCTGATCAGTCGTCTGAATTTCTCTGATGCACATTAACTTTGATTTTCCTAAAAAGTCTAAATCCGGCTGCTCTGCTGATCTATGAGCCTACTTCATGCTGTCACACAGGTTGCGTCAGGTCTTTGATATTTAGGGGATTTTTAATTCCTCCGCCATGCTGCTGATCAGGTTTTTGTTTTGCTGAGGAAGCGGAGCAAAGTATGACCTTTGAACCCGTTTTGTCCATGGAGGCAGGTTGGTTCGGAGCTTCTCCACTAAATAATCTCAAACATGTCAGAAAACTAAAGGGTTGGAATAGTTTCTCTGGGCTCTCCTTCAGTTGGTCCTGATGAAACCAACTGTTTGCATCAAAGAGCTTCAGCACACAGCAGTGAGGGTTAATCATCAGTTAGCTTCACAGGAGCACGGCAGAGGAGGATCATGCTGTGGAGATCTCTGCATGGAGGTTTCATTATTTATTCCTCATTTTATAGCTTATTTTATTTACTTAATGGTCAGTTATTTAACTATGCATGTTTCCAATTAAATGGAATACCTAACATTTGAAAATGATTTAACTTATTTCCTTGTTTTTATTTCATATCAAGTGATTGTTAATCTAGTGAGCAGCTTTGGTGTCTGGTGGCCCCCCTGGACCTGAGTGAAGTTGGCCCCCCCACCTTCTTCAAATCAGACAAAATGGGTGTCAATTAACTCAGCTCCGTTTGTGCAGCAAAAATTGTCATTTGTGCTGCTTTGGCTTTGAAGATATTAATGAAAATGTAAAGGTCAAAAGGTCAACCAGCCCCCCCACCTTCTTCAAATTAGACAAAATTGGTGTCAAACGTTTGTGCTGGTTTGTGCAGCAAAAATGTTCGTTTGCGCCATTTTAAAGATATAAAGCACAAACCAGCACAAACGGAGCCGAGTTAATTGACACCCATTTCGTCTGATTGGGGGGCTTGTTGACCTTTGATGACCTCGAGAAACATTTCTTTATATCTTTTAAATGATAGCGGCACAAACAAAAATTTTTGCTGCACAAACCAGCACAAACGTTTGACACCAATTTTGTCTAATTTGAAGAAGGTGGGGGGGCCAACTTCACTCAGGTCCCCCCTGGGCTCCGGACACCCGATCTGGGCCCCCTGGTCTCGACGATGGTCTTTGGGGTGGACTGAGAGGACTCGCTAGAACAATCAAACCTTCTAATCACTGGAAGCCTCCAAGCATCTCTATCATTACTAGATCTACATCTGTGGTTCTATCTGCTTATTCTAGATCCATTAATCAGCCTGAGTCTGAGGGAGAAAGAGCCGGTCAACATCTGGATCCCTTCAGCCCAGAAGGCAGATCCAGATGTTCCTGGGTGAGAGAGGAAGCTCACTGTTTGGTGGAGAGTCTTTGCATTCGCCCTCCTTAATGCTAACGTCATCGATAGCGATGGCGCCTTCAGGGCCAGAGCCGCGGACTCCTTCCATCACCACCTGCACAAAGACCAGGAGTTAGACGGAGGAAAACATTTCAATATAAATCTCGATGAGCAACATCATCTGGCTGCTTTTTCCCAGCAGGCTGTTCTGCTGCCTGACAGACCTGAAAGGCTGTGGTGGGATGGAGGGCAGCCTTCGCCTGCCGCCACTGGTTTCCTTGGTTACCAGTCAGACTCCAGACTAAAGTATCAGTCAGGGCGGGACCTTTCTGCCGCAGGAAGACATTCAGAGCTCCTACAGGAGACAAGCAGTGGGATTAGGTTGTTTCCTGGAGAGCCTGGTTCTCAGCCATCTGGTGACCCTCACCTTGATGCTTCCCGTACATGTGGTAGTAGAAGGTGAGGCAGTAGGCGGCGCCGCTGCTGGCTGAGGAGGAGGAGATGCTCGCGGGGTTAACATTGAAGGTTGGCGAGGTCAGCCGGGCTTTGTCCCCCTCCACCCTTGGTCTCGATGTTTCCAGGAACATGTAGAAGCCTGAAGGTCCACAGAGTGACAGAGAGGCTGGGTGAATGTTTCAGAGGTCAGAGAGGAGAGAAGAAGAAAGCCCAGCAGAGTCTGTGAGGCTGTGTCCAAACGTCCACCATGACCCCTGACCCCATGCAGCACCACAGTGGTTACATCATGGACATGTAGTGCCCTCAAAATTTCCCACAATGCACCTTGAAAAGTAGTAATCATCAATGGTCACCAGACCAGCAGATAAATCCCATGATGCTTTTGCAAGAGCTCTCCTTGCAAAGCATCATGGGATTTGTTTTCGGGGCGAGAGAACAAAGATGGGGCAGGCACCATGCGGGGAGGCGGAGTCAGGTGACAGACGCAGAGCGAAAAATAGGGATAAAGTCACTATAAAGTCCTCTATAGGGATGGAGGGGTTAAAGTTCAAAGGTCAGCAGTTATGGTGAAGTACAGACACAGCCGCAGTCAGGGAACCTTAATAAAGGCCGTTTCTCACTATGTGTACTTGTGCGTTCTCGTGTCCTCATGAAACGTCATCATCCTCAGCCCTAGTGCTGTTCCAGTTCACAAGAACAGCAGACCGAGAACAATGTGGGGGTGTTTTCATCATTGCTCGCGATTTTAACCAGGCTAACTTGAAGACTGTTGTCCCTTATTTTTACCAACATGTGGCACACCTGGAGGAGAAGAACACCCAGGTGCGGATGCTGTTCCTGGACTTCAGTTCAGCTTTCAGCACCATCATCCCACAGCATCTGATGGGCAAACTGGAACAGCTGGGCTTCAATACACCCCTCTACCATTGGCTGCTAGACTTCCTCACCAACAGACCTCAGTCAGTCCGGGTCGGACAGAACACCTCTGATGTCATCAGTCTAAGCACAGGCTCCCCTCAGGGCTGCGTCCTGAGCCCCCTGCTGTTCACCCTGATGACACACGACTGCGTCCCCAGGTTCACCACCAATCGAATGGTGAAGTTTGCAGACGACACCACAGTGGTGGGCCTCATCAGAGACGACAATTACGAGGACTACAGAGAGGAGGAGGAGCAGCCTAATACTGAAGGTGGAGAAGACCAAGGAGATCATGGTGGACTTCAGGAAGAACCGGCCTAACCACGCTCCACTGCTCATCAACAGCTCAGCTGTAGAGGTGGTCAGCAGCACCAAATTCATCACAGACACCCTCACCTGGACTGGAAACACCACCTCACTGGTCAAAAGGGCCCAGAAGCACTTGGACTTCCTGGGGAGGATGAGGAGAGCCCACCTGCCTCCACCCATCCTCCCCACCTTCTCCAGAAGCACCATGGAGAGCGTTCTCTCCTGCTGTCTCACTGTGTGGTGTGGAGGCTGCAGCGCCTCAGACTGGAAGTAGGTGAGAACAGCAGAGAGGATCATGGGGGCTCCTCTTCCCTCCATCAAAGACATTTCATCCCAGCGCTGCGTGTCCCGAACCCGGGATATCACCAATGACCCCTCACCCCCCCACCATGGACTGTTCCCCCTGCTGCCCTCTGGGAAGAGGCTTCACAGCATTGGAAGCAGGTCCAGCAGATTCTGCAGCAGCTTCTTCCCCATCGCCTTCCGACTGCTGAATGTTATGTAAAATTGGTTATTTTATTGTATTTTATTATATTATATTATTTAAAAAATAAATAACTGAAATGTTAGAACTTTAAATATACAGTCATATGGTTGTATTACTGTTTTTAATGTATTTTATACTGTTTTCAAGGCTGCACTTTAAAAAACTGAAATTGTCTGGAGAGCTGTTCTTAACGAAAGTTCTTTTTGTTTACATTCGTGTACACAAAATCTAAGTCTAAGTCTAAGAAATGTCCCCACAAATCATTCAAACAGCTGGGTCTGTGTGTGTGTGAGCACCTTGCTTGGAGCCGGTGTGGTCGGCGCTCGGCCCGCTGGTGGCTGTGAAGGTCACGTCCTCGACGGCGCCGCGGTGACGCGTCCAATCGAACTCATCCGACTTGTCTTGAGAAAAGGAGCATAAGGAGTCTTCCTCAAAGCCACAGAGGAAATTCCCTGCAGAGCAAAACATCCAGCTGTGATCCAGGAGGAACAGCTGGAGACTTACAGGTGATGGAGGGATGGATAGACCCAGCTTCACCTTCACAAAAAACCTGATCAATTCACTAAACTCAGACTCCACACTGATGATGGGGGGGTGTAAATGGTGTGTATAAGTTCATTTACATGTATACAGGGCTGTCAACTCTCACCCATTGGGAGAGAGACTCACCCATCTCAGTGTCTTCACACACTCAATATTCCAAATTTCTCACACAAAAAAATGAGACATTAAAACTCGACTCTGTTCCACTTATTTATGAATAAAAATACCATGGAGATCAAAATCCGTTTTTAATATAACCTTGGTGCAAAGGTTAAATAATTATTGCTCAGTCTAGTTTAATAATCTCCCGCTGGCATTTAGGAGTAATTAAACAAACACAAATACTTTAATTCTTAAAGCTTCCAGGTTTGCCTCTCAAACCCATAGAAGCTCCACAAAAAGCAAAAGAAGCATTTCATTTTTATTTTCAAAAGATCAGACGCCCAAGAAAAGACCAACTACATCCAGAGAGGATGTGCAGAATTATTCAGTTATCCAGGATGGATAGAGGAGGAACCACAGGGATGTTCTTCTTTTATTATTACTTATTTTCTTCATTTATATTTATTTTGGTCCATTGGATATGTTTAAAGACTTAATTTCCATCACACCTTTTAAACTGAAACATCCAGAGAAGTGCCAGATAAGTATAAAATCTACAGCCTCCTAGACGATCTGAACTGTTTTGCCGTTTTGTCAATTTTAAGATTGCTTGTAACTAATAACGTAATGAATGAAGCTTTTTAATCCTTAGCCTATTACCATATATTCATACACAGTGTAGTTTGCATAGGTTTTCATTGCACTGGTTCCTGTATCAGCGCCTGTAATCCAGTAATAACTTATTAGTTCCTCATTGTTTAATTTACTTGAGATGCAGAGAATAATTAATGAGCAAAGTATATTTATGATGCAAGTATTTTAGTAGGGCCCATTCTGCTTTACTTCAATTGTCTAAAAATCACCAGAATGTAGAAAATAATGTATATTGTGTTAAAAAAGTTCCACATAACTACAGATCACTTATTGTTACTCAGTAACATTTACTGTGCTATAAAAATTCCACATTTCCCATTTTGTTTTAGTTAAATCCTCTGAAAACCTCCAACCTATAGCTGCACCTGTCCTCATCTAACCCTGCAGCCCTGCTGTATATATGTAGATGTATATATTTATATATATTTATGTGTGTGTGTGTGTGTATTAATATCAATTTTATTTTATTCTAAAATGTATTTTAATTGAAACATTTATCTTATTCTATTTTATGTGTTTATGTATTTTAGCCTTCAGCGTTTATCTTATGTTCCTTAACTGTGGTTCCTGTACAGCACTTTGGTCAACCCCGGTTGCTTTAAATGTGCTTTATAAATAAAGTTTAAGTTGAGTTGAGTTAATATCAAATTAAAAACATAAAAATTTAACAGGAAGGTTTTTCTTTAAATAAATGTCCACTAATACGCATATTTGATTCATACATAAACAGGACAAGATCAACCAAAGTATTTCTGCTCCATAAACAATAATTAAACTACAAAATACCAGAGGTCTTCTTATTTGTGTGGATCTTTGAGACTCTCCTGACGTCCCTTTCTTGTGATTGGCTCAAACAGGGGAGCTTTTTGACTGTTTTAAAAAAAATGCATTTCTGCATGTGTGCATCTTTTACTCACATATGTGTATTTGTGAAAATTGAACAGATCTGATCTCCACATTCAGACAATTTCCATGAATAAATGTCATTTCTCTGGCTGTATAAACCGACAGGTTTATTTTGGTGGAAGGTTTGGTTTCTCTTCATGTTCAGGTGAATTTAGTTAGTTTGGAAATTGGTGTTTGGTTTAGTTGATGCTAACTAGTCTCTCTTTTATTTGGTTAATTTATTGATTTTTCAAAATTGTCTAAATTAAATTCATTTTCAATCATTCATTTATTGATTGATTGATTCATTCATTCATTCAGACTCAGTCAGTAAAGGATGGACCCGATGCTGCAGCTGAAGGAGCTCCAACTCCAACCAGAACTTGATTCAACCCTCAGACTGTTTGTCTTCAAACTTTAACGATTGGGTGGAGCTGTGATGGTTGGAGCCGTAATTGGCTGTAGCCGTGATTGGGTGGAGACGTGATTATGTTGAGACATGATTGGATGGAGTTGTGATTGGTTGGAGCTGCAATTGGTTGAAGACGCGATTGGATGGAGCTGTGATGGGTGGAGTTGTAATTGGATGGAGCTGTGATTGGGTGGAGACGTGATTGTATGGAGTTGTGATTGGTTGGAGCTGCGATTGGTTGAAGACGCGATTGGATGGAGCTGTGATGGGTGAAGTTGTAATTGGATGGAGCTGTGAATGGGAGGAGATGTGATTGGGTGGAGCTGTGATTGGGTGGAGACGTGATTGTATGGAGTTGTGATTGGTTGGAGCTGCGATTGGTTGAAGACGCGATTGGATGGAGCTGTGATGGGTGAAGTTGTAATTGGATGGAGCTGTGAATGGGAGGAGATGTGATTGGGTGGAGCTGTGATTGGGTGGAGACGTGATTGTATGGAGTTGTGATTGGTTGGAGCTGCGATTGGTTGAAGACGCGATTGGATGGAGCTGTGATGGGTGAAGTTGTAATTGGATGGAGC